GTGGTATGACTAATTATTCTTCTAATCACTCTCACTTTCAAGCGCCGTTTTCTGTTCTAATCTAATCTGGGGGAGGAGTAACCTGGCTCTTAAATTTCTCCCAGCACCCCTGCGCCTCGGCCTAAGCTCCACTCTGGGCGTCCTGCTGCAGCCAAGTTCCTGTCATACATGTGGTAGTAAATCTGAGTGTATTTACATAAAACTGCTCGTCTCTATCTGTGCTGATGCAATAAATACAGACGCCTGGTTTGGAGGAGAGGAACTTTTAAGCTGCACTGAGCGATGACTGGCCACTAGAGAGCAGAGGAGCGCCACAGTGAGCTACGCAGCTCGCTCGCAAACCGGACAATGAGTTAACAAAGAGGCGTGATTGTACCATCGACATTTTTCTTTCATGATTGACTGCACACCGTCCTCTGTTGTGGAGAAACTCGTACTCTGGCATAAATGGATAAATAAAATTAGGTTGAAACAACGGAGCGAATAAGATCCAATCACGTCTTCTGTTTTGGACACACTTCTGGCCCATGGCATGAATTTGCCTGTCATCAACTATAGACGACACCTTAGACACCTTAGAATTTTATAGACTGATCAGAAAAGTAATCATCAGTTTACTCACTAAAAAGAAACTTTCGTTTCTGCCCTGGACGCCATTAATACGTAACGTCTCAGCCGCTGTGTTCCTTCAAGGAATGTCGTCTGTCATCACCATCCGCTCCCAGATATCTCCGTCCAGACGGTTCTGGTCTGTGGTTCCCTGACGGTGGAACGAGTTAGTGAATCCTATCAGAGCAGGGCGTCCCTCTCTGTCTTCAAGAACCTCTTGTAGACTCCTCTCTTCTGAGAGCACCTCCTCCCCCAACACCTCTAACACCCGCACATGCCCAACCAGCACTTACTACGAACTCTCAGTCACTTCTCTACATGATCTCCCTGCACTTATTGAAAAGATATAGTATTTGGTACCAAGGTCTCCTACTGCGCTGAAGCTTTACTGATGTCCCGTACTTATAAGTTGCTTCTTATGAAAGCGTCTGCCGAACGAGTAAATGTAATGGAGGTTTAAATAATGTTGACAACACGCTATGGTCGCTCTGACAAAAGGACTTTTGCTCTTCAGAAACTAAACATTTAAAATAATAAAATTTGACACAAGCACTGAGACAAACTGATGAAGAGCACAGAGAGTGTTCATTCATCCACTTCACTCGGAAATTCTGGTTTTGATCCCAATCATCCAAACCTGTCTCCTAAAATTTAAATTTACCAATCTACTGTATTTTCCTTGGTAACACTTTGAAGCTAAGGTCGCCTTCCTTCCTTATTCCAGAGCACTGAACTGCATCTCACTGTCTTTATCATCAAGTGTCAACAACAACAACATGTTTGTTTTCCACCAGAACCAACATCCACTGGTTGTGACTCCATCACTATTAAACTGTGTTGTGGTTCTGCTGAGACTCTCACAGCTGTTGGTCCAGGTCAGAGAAAGATCCAGGTCTGGTATAATACAGAGAAATTTCACAGCGACTTCACACACACAACCTGTTTAATTACATTCAACCGAAACCACCATCTTTCTCTAAGCTTAACCACAGCTCTGATGAAGACTGGGAGATGTGGTTGACAGCTCTGGAAGAAGTAACAACACTTTACAAGACGGACGCAAACTCTTGCCTCTGATCTAAAGGTCCCGCTGTTTGAGCAACCACCACCCGTCCAGCCTCCCTGCTATAAACTCTGTGCGGTCATTAAACAAACACTGGCAGTGAACATAACCCAAGCAGCCCTGATGTTTCCTACAAATCACCTCTTAGCAGAACCGCTTAGTAGCGTGTAAACATCCACATGTTCGCGTTAGTTAGGATGCACGTCGTGCTTCAGCCAAGCACAAGGGTGGATGACTGCACAGAACATCTCGGCTGGTTCAGAGGTTTAGAGTCAGGGGAATACCTGCCGCCTCTCCTCACAGTCATGTCATCAGGGTCAAACTACACCTGCAGGTGGGGAGATCAAATCTTATTTCACTTAATTAAACCACATTCCTCTCGGCACCACCTGACTCTCAGACCTCCATCTTCTTTTCGTCCTCTTTATGTGTTGAACTTCTAGATCTTTAGTTTTATCAGCCAAACCTGCACCTGTGATCCACCCCCCCCACCACCACCACCACCACCACCACCTCCAAACACACACACACACACACACACACACGCGCACTTCCTGTCAACAGGATGTTATTCGACGTCACCTCACCCCTCTTTTTAAAGACAGTTTGTTCGGACCTTCACCTTCTGGGACACACAACATGTTTTCTGGGCGTATGGCCTCCTCAGGTTGTGTAAGAGCTGGCAGCGACGGAGTGAGTCCACCTCAAACAACACTTTCTTTGATAAAGTCAGACCTCGATAAAGTGGAGCCCCGAGAATCACATCACTGCAGCGGAGCCTTTTAACTCTCACGCTCACACACATGATTGTACACAGTGACAGCAGCACCGATACCTCCTCTGTAGCGTCTCTAACTCTTTGATACTTTTTGGGTCAAATTTGAACCATTTGAGAGAAAACAGCCTAAAACACCTTTTTTTTGACTTTTGAAGAACTTTAGATTTTGGTCGATACAACAACAACCTGTTGACCCACATTTACTGGCCAGAGTTTCAGATTGACTAGAGGGGGTCGGATTAGACAGGACAGTTCAGCGTTCGAGGCGGACTTGAACCTGTGTACTTCACAACACATTGATATAAATTACAAAAACAAAAACCCTTCAGTATAACACAAAGCAGCTTTAACAGCACATTACTGCCTCCGAAATGATCAAGCAGTTGAGTCAACCCGTCTCTGACACTGAAGTCGCACTAATCTGGATTCACTACAGAGAGGTGTACCTAATAAACTGGACACAAACTACATGACTTTTCTTTTAAATAATAACTGCTCTGTGCAATTTTACTCTTAAACCATCTTCATCATCAGCAATGACTTATTTATGTTGACGTCTTCCATAAAAAACACCTCCATCACCCGCACAGGGACATTTTCTTTTATCTCAATAATATTCCGACACTGACTTCTATGTGTTATGGACCTCTCATCATTTTTCGGTCGTCGACTGCAACATTTACTGCTGCAACTAACTAACTATTATTTTTACATTAATAATTAATTTGCATTAAAGAGAAAAATGTCCTCAGGTGTTTTGTTTCGTCTAAAACAGAGGAAACTTCACAAAGAGAATCTGGATCCATCAGATACTGAACGGTTAATAGCCTATCAATCAATTATCTGAATGATTCATTCAGTTTCAGTTTACATTGACGCTTCACACCACTGTTTTATTTGCGGTTTCTTTTTATTTGTTTGTTCTCTATTTTGTTCTTTTTCTTCCCTTTAAATCAAACTGATCGACTTATTGGTTGATCACCTGACTGTTTCAGCTCTGTGGCCCTGTCACATCCTCCTACTCCTCCACACACAGCTGCCTTTTCTGGGAGTCAGTGGATCGTAGAGCAAAACGCGGAGGCAGTTAAATAGATTTTACACTGAGAAACGTACACATGCTGGTTCATACAGACCGTTCCTTTAGTCTTAGACTAAATACATTTCAATGCTGTAACATCTGAATAAAAAAAACTTCACAATGTCCCTTTTATGCTGCTATTTTTGTTACATTTTTTTTATATATTTAAATATCTAATTGTAGGCCTACATCTTATATTTATCTTCTTCATTTTTAAGTATTCTATATCGACATTTTGCAGTTTTTCTGTTCACTTTGCTGCCGCAACCCAGAAAAATGTCGCCACTGTGTCTTATCTTATCAAGCAAAGGGTTTAAACAAGAACAAAGATGTGTGGATTCACTTGTCATATACACCTCCACCTATACATCAACACACACACACACACACACACACACACACACACACACACACACACACACACACACTTTGCTTCAACAAGTTTTTTTCCTGTTGTGTAAACTGACAAATCAAATAAAGAAATGAAAACATAAAATCGAGACACTGAGGAAAACTTTAAAAACAGGATTTTAACTTGAAAGCAGGGAAATCATTTCCAAAATGAAACCAACAAATGAACTTCATCTATAACATGTCAGAAAAATCCTAAATTTTCTCTTTGGAGTTTTGCATGGTGCTGCAGGGAGTTCCCGTTCACCATTCTAACTCTACCATATATACAGAAGGATTATTTCAACACTCCCACAGGTTTGTGGAGGTTAACTAATAGACTTTCATACTCGTGCTCCTGCAGAAGCCCCTGTCTCTTCTCCTCCTCTCCACGGAGCAGCTCAGTATGGCGGAGACAGATTGTAAACATATGCAGCTATAGGCAGCCAACAGCATCATGGAAAACACTTTTTTTTTCTTTCTTTTTTCTTTCTTCATTTTTCCAGCGGAGAGTTCGGCTCCCAGGTTAGAGGCAAAGACAGAAGAAGAGACCCGCTTCTGTAAGTTTCCTCATGAATGACACGTCAATCAAACTCGAGCTTCAGCTCAACTTCAAAGTCTCAACAACAGTTTCTGCGGATTTGACTCGTCCTGGCACCGAGAGCGCAGGAAAACGCGCGGCCACAGAGGAGCAGGTTTAACTGAGCAGAAGCTGTTGAAGGGAATTTTGTAGTAAAATAATTAGTTTTTCTGTCAAAGCGCAGAAGCTGAGTGACCGCTGCAGAATGTAAATGGACTTTCTGCGGGTTAAATCACAGAGAAAGTCGCTGGAGCGCATCAGTTTGGAGCAAACTTACGCAGGACAAACGCTGAGCTCATGAGGATGTTTCAGAAGCAGAAACTTCAGGAACACAACTTCAAACTGCTGATGTTTCAGCCACAGTTACACCAGACTGAGAGAAAACAAAAGCTACAGAAAAACAACAACAACGCAAACATCCAACAAGACGCTAAACTGACTCTGGAGACATCAGCGTCATGTTTCTGCTGAAGTGTTCAGAGTTGAGGTTTTTTGGACTCACATGTTCTCACTGGAGCGGCGGCTGGTCCCCCCGCAGGATCATTCTCCCGCTCCACAAAGTCTGAGGGAAGTTTGTTTGTTCTCAACTTTGTTGAACCACTTTTAACAAAGACGTCCACGCTGCGCCGCGCTGACGCGCAAAAGTCTCCAAAGTTTGGAGAGAGAGTGAGAGGCAGAGGACGAGAGAGAGAGAGAGAGAGAGAAGGAGGGGACGGCTCTGCTGATGAGGGGAGGGGGTTCGCTTTGCTGATCCGGGCTCCCCGGCGGCGGCGGCGGCGGCGGACTGGGCGGGGGCGGTGAGTGAAGATGAGGATGCTTCAACGGAGAGAAAACCAGCAGAGAGTTTAACGCGTCGGTTTAGTTTAGCGGCGCCGCGGTGTCAAGCTACGTGAGTGAAACAGGCTACACTTCCGGTCAGGTTGTCAAAATAAATATAGCAAGCGCTGTAATGGGGCAGACTTTCAAAAATAAAATCAGTAGGAAAAGTAATAATTCACCTTCTGGTCAGAAATCTGAAATTACTGCAGATGGAAATGAGCTTTAAGAAAACTCAACATGCAAAGCAGATGGTAATATTCATGTTTATTATTGGTCCCTTACAAATAAAAGAATTTAAATAGATAAATAACCAATAAAAAAATAAATGAGACCAAACAGACAAGAAAATAATTAATAAATAATAAAAGAGAAATCTAACATGGTAAAATGGTTCAAGTCATCATCTGAGAGTTTGACAAATAAATGAATAAATATATTCCTATTGACAGTTTATATATACAGGATAATAGTGGGCTCTAATTGAAAGTTAATAAATAAATCAAAATCATTGTTATCAGTAAAGTGAGGAGAATATGTCAAACGCTAAATAAACTTGAGGAAATTAATTTAGCTGCATTTTATTAGAATAAAAAAATGACAGCAGCAGTTAGACACACACTGGTTCTAAGGAAAACCTCAGCAGCCGGGGAACAGGTGCATCCTGCTGCATAATTCAACATACTGACAACAATTCTGCAGCTTCTTCTTTCCTGTGGCATTAATCACTCCTCATACTCTCCATCAGCGTGAGACCACACCCCAGTTCAGCCCAGCAGTCAATCAGGTCCTGAGAAACAGGAGGAAGCCGGTTATCAGTTTCCATACGGAGACATTTAACAGGAAGCCGCTTCATAACAACAGCTTACATAAATATTATATAATGTATATGTTGTTCTATATGACTGGGTGCAGAAGTTGTGTATTGTGCAGGTGGGGGGGGGGGGGTTACAGGTTCCCCCATCCTCAGTTACACAAACCAAACTGGGTCCGTCTCAGTCGTGACAGATGTGCTGTGATGTGCTGTGATGTGATGTGCTGTGATGTGAGGTGAGCGGGAACAAAGAGCGTCTCATTTGCTTGGAAACGTCATTGAGGCTGAACTTCCTGCCTGATAACGAGCGGAGGCCGGAGGCTGCAGAGATCTGCTCTGAGATGAGGAGGAAAGTTTGTGGCAGTAACTAAACATGAAGCATGATGGTGACACGTAAAGCACCAGTCAGACAAATACAATGAAAACAGACAGGCCTTCAGGATTTCACTTTTCTCTCATGTGACGGTCCCATCACTCACTTCTGTTTCATCTGAACTGTTGATCCATAAGAAGATATATCTGTGGTTTTAAGAACCAAAAACCATCTCAGTGTAGTTTTACATCTTCTCTCTCAGGCTTCTCTCTGGAGCTCTAGTAACAACAGGTCAGTGAGCCAATCAGAAGAGAGGAGGCTCTGAGCCTCTCTTCTGATTGGCTGACTGTTTTCTGAGTGATCCAATAAAAATAAGGCAGATTTCAGGTAAAAAAAACTCAGAGAAACCAAATTCTGCAAGGTTGGATGGTGGGTCCAGGTGGGTGGGGCTTGGGGTGTGGCAGAGGGTGGTGACATCACAAAGTTCCAGAAGTCCTGACGGCACATTTTAAGGCTCAGTTTCTGAATACAGGCTGTGTGCATTTCTCTGTGGACTGAGGCTTTGATACTTTCACAGTATTAATATAGAACCTAGACCTGATCTATAATCAAACTACACATGGACAGAGACCTTTATACTGTATGGAGCTTTAACAGAACAAGTTCTGCCTCTTGGTTTGTGAAGAGTTTCTCACACCAGCATGTTGAATATTTTCATCTTTAGCAGCTGGTGTTAGGAGACGCCTCTGGAGCTTTCAGCTCTCATCATATGAATCCTGTTCACTATGCACTGACGGTTTACAGGACAAGTCTGGTGAGATTCTGAAGTTTCTGTCACTGATAAAAACCACAACCAACAATAAAAGTCTCTTACTAACAAGTAGCTGACTGTGTGTGTGTCTGATTCCTCTGAGCTTCTCTGTTTCCAACAACTATTAAAAACACATCGGTGACTCACACATATTCCTTCATCACCAAGAACACACACTGTCGTTCATTCCAATTTTTTGCTGAAAATAGTCCCCAACATCTGCACTGTCAGAGCAACACATGCCTGGTTTGCGTCTTTTCACTGGATATGTTGACATGGAGGAGGGGAGTCGTGTTGGGGGGGGGGGGGGGGTAGACAAGCGTGCAGTTCCTGAACCAAGGATCTTTCCTCACACCATGACCACAATCAGAATCATTCAGCATCATGGTTGGATCCAGTGTGATATTCAGGTCGCAGAGAGAAGGAGGGAAAACATCCCAACAACCTCAAACCACCAGTGGTGGGGGGGAGGGGGGGGGGGCAGCTGAGGGCAAGGGTCGTTTCATAAAGAAAGGGGCGTGACAATTCATAGGTACTGAAAGAGTAACAAATATCAACGTGATCACATAAATATCACAAACCTGCTTCATATAAGCAGCAGCCAAATATTAGCTCTTGACATTGTTCCCACAGAGGTGGAGGGGGTGGGGGGTATTTAAAATTTGAAACATATAAATATTAAATTTAAGCTTTAAAATGTGTCAATTTCCATTCCAAAGTTCCATTTATTTTATTTTGTGCTGTTGCATCATTTCCTGTAACACTCAGCGTTTATATGTGAACACAACACAAGGTGTCACTTTCTGCCTCGGGCCGAAGACCCCACCTCACTGAAAAAAAACACAATAAAAAAAGGACTAAAGAACAAGATGATGTCATGTTTCTAAAAAGAACTTTGTGTCCCTGGCAGATAGACTCCTGAAATAAAATCAGTTTTATGACACAGGCCTGAACAGAGTGTGCAGAGACTGCAGTCACAGCGTTCACAGGTAGAACACTGGGTAGGTAAAACACTCAAATCTGTTCTGTCCTCTTCTGCTAAAAGTAGAAGCAGAGACGGACAAGTGAGACCAGGAGACAGGAATACACAGTGAGACAGAAAGAGACTGATGTGAAAAGCAGACGATGGAAAGAATAATGGAATGTGGAGGACAGACAGACAGAGAGACAGACAGAGACAGACAGACAAATGAGAATCAAAAATAAAAACAGATTTTGTATTTGAGGAGAGGTTTTAAGAAGAACTGAATATTTTCTTCAGTTAAACTTTCTCTGACTGAACAGGTTGACTGAAATTATCAGAGCAGATTTCTGACGTCTGTTCTTCATGCTGCGTTTTCCCTCTTTTTCATCTTTCAATCGTAAAGTTTGAGCAACATGAACCAACAGGATCAACTGATACGTCCTGACATCAGCAGGAGCTGGAGACACGACTGAAAGCTGCTCACTGAAGACTGCGACTGGTGATCATGTGACGCAAAAAAGACGCCAGAGACGACGTCTTTTCACATCGGGGACCAGAGAAGATAAGAATATTCAACATGTTTTCTCGGTCTGAGAATCTTTCCTACATCTCGTCCGATTCTTCCTCCAAAAACATTCGCTGTCAGACACCAGAGACAGAAGTGACCCCTGAGACACTTTGAACCTCAGGTTTGTAACTTCCTCTTCTTCCATCAAAGCCCAGCACCACCCTGACCCCAGCCACAGCCACACCCACTCCCTCTGATGACTCTTGATCTGATGCTCAGTAAAGATTTCATTAAAGTCGCTGGTTTTACAGTTTTGTGCAGGTTCTGCTGCTGCAGCTTCAGCGTGTTGTTCAGGTGCTCTGTTGGTGCTCTGTTGGTGTTTTTTTTTTTTTTTCCATGTGAGACAACTGATCCCAGAGCTGCTGTAGTGACGAGACATTTCAGGATTTGTGGACATCAGTGGCTCCGACGCTGAACCGACCTGAACTTTAGTTTAGAAATAATTACAGGAAATCTTTGTTGAAAACAGCCTTGATTCAAACTGACCACAGGGGTATAAAACAATAAAAAGAGTCAACATCACACCATCATTTCAAATGTTTTATTCAAATTTACCTTGAATCGCTCTGATTCTGCAGCTTTGTGAAAACCTTTACAGTCCCACTAAAAGAAGTTCAAAGAAACCGAAATGTTAAATAACTAGAAAAAAACCAGCGCCACCGCCGCCTCAGGAAGGATCAACACGTACAGAGAAAGTGATATGTCAACACATTCAAAACTAAATATTCCTCCACGTCTCCAAAAAAAAAATAAAAAACAGGAAGTCAAATGGCGACTCTGTGAATTGGCGCCACCCGTTGATACTGAATCCCCCCCGACAGCAGTTTTATTTATTCACTGATTTACTAGATTGTAGTAAGAAGCTTTTTATTTCCTCCACACTTTATTCTTTAATGTCTGAACTTTGGGACAAAGACAAAGACAGTTCTAACTTGTAAAACCACAGACATGTGGCTCGGTTAATTGTGATCAACTGTGATCAAAATCAATAACATCAAAGCTCTGAGTTTAGATGGTGGAGTAAATTCTGAGCTGCAGTTTAACAGAAAAGAAAAGGATCAGTGTAAGATTATTGTGGACAACCTGGTCTCCAGCCTGTTTCTTATTTACTTTTGAATCAGAGTCACAGTTTTCAGAGCTTAGAGATGATGTAACTCCTCCACCGGTGAGTCTGCCGGTTCCTCAGTCAACCATTTAAACCTTTAGTGTTTGATCTGTTTGGTCAGTTCGTCTTCGTCGTCTTTCAGCGTCCCATCAGGTCAGCCAGTCATTCGTCAAGGAATAGTTCAACACTGAAAAATAAATGTATTCACTTTCTTGCGGAGACTTTGATGAGGAGATTTTTTTTTATCTCACATCTGGAGCTGTATTCTGAAATTTCATAGGGAGCGAATGTTTCATGAAGTATTTTCATCAGGTTAAACTTTTCATAATCGAATTTAGAAAATTTAGATGGTAGTAAAAGTCATTTTTGTCATTTCTGAAGCTGTTTTTCTAAATTAAAGCCATATCAACATAAGGGAAACTTATCAAGGTGAAAATCATTGGCTATTGATTTCCCTTAATCAACTGATACCAATCGATTGATTTCCTCAAATACCAATCAAAAAAAAGGAGATGGACATGAGGAGGAGACTCGCTGCAGGTTCGAGGAATTTCAGGAAAATAAAATCTAAACTAAAGGTTGACTTACTGGCTTTTTCCAGAGCTTTCACTTTACCACCTCCAACTTGAAGATTTGATTGTAACATTTTCTTTTGTTTTTATCCAGCGTCATGTATTTTACACTGTTTGTAAACTGTGTATAAATATGAAGACTGTGAGATGTATTAAAGCTCAGGAATAAACGTTGTAAGAGGACCTTGAGTTAAGATCTTTTTGCTTTAGAGACTTGGAGCTTGTGTGTGGCAATATTGCAGGTCTGTAACACTATAAGCCAATAGGGATTGATAATGAAGCTTTGATCTGTTTTTTGGGCTCTACTTATTAAACATGAGTCAGTCAACATGCTCAACAGTCAGTCAGTCAGTCAGTCAGTCAGTGACAGTGTAAGACACAGGCAGCCATTGTTGGAGACTGATTTCCATCATGTCCTCCTCTGACGGCAAGCTGAACAGCTCTCTTCACAGGACGGCCTCAGAGAGAGAGAGAGTGTGTGTGTGTGTGTGTGTGTGTGTGTGTGAGTGTGTGTGTGTGTGTGTGTGTGTGTGTGTGTATGCACACGCACGAGTGTGTGCGAGTGCTGCGTCCTCAGCTTGCTGTGGGCCAGATCAGTGACAGATAGAGCGGTGCTGCTGGGGAGAAAAAGAGGGGGATGGAAGGAAGGAGGGATGGAGGGATCAGATCGGAGGAGGACAAAGGCTTCATTCTTTGCCAGTTGTGAGGAGTTTCAGGGCTTTCTGGAGGTTCTGGATCGCCGTGCCGACGTCCTCGTACTGCAGGGCACTGCCGGCGTACTTGCAGTACTTCTGGGCCTTGGTGAAGTCGTCCGGGCTGAGCTGAACGCCGCCTGGAGGGAAGGGTGGACGGAGGGTGGGGTGAAGGGAGGAGAGAGAAAGGGACAGATTGGAAGATAAGAAGAGGAGAGGAGGGCAGAGGGGAAAGAAAGAGGAGAAAAAAAGAGGGGGAAGAGGGGGAAAAGAGCAAAGAGGAGGAAGTCAGTGAGATCAGAGTAAGTTAATGAACAACAACTACAGAGCCATCAGAGGAGAAATCACAGTCACACAAAGACACGGGCTGATGCTAATTTCACAGCAGAAATAAATCAACCAAAAAGCAGCAGAAAACATTTGACCAGAGTTTCTCAGCCTGTCAGACACTTATATACAACCAGACGGCATCAAACTGCAACAGCTTCAATGCTCAACTGCCTCATTTGGATTAAAACATGGAAACTTTTGCTCTACAGGAAAAACACCAAATGATACAGTAACTGATTGTTTTCATTCTGGGTTTGTTTTCCTCTGAAATGTCAGAAGACAGAGAGGAGCTCAAGGTGACATCTTCACACGCCAGGCAAAGATGTTCAGTTTGTATCTATCACAGCCACAAACACATAACAGAGCGAAGGTGTCTGAGATCAGCAACACGTAGACACGCAGCACAAGACCCAAGAACAGAAAAAGCAAACAAAACAAAAAATAGTTGAAAAAAAAAAAAAAAATAAAAAAAAAAAAAAAAAAAAAAAAAAAAGTCAAAGAAAATCACAGAGATACAACGATAGATGACTAAATGTATTTGCATTTAAACTTGAAATATAAAACAACAGACTCCTGGTAAATAGATAAAAGCATAAAGACAAGCTGCTCTTCTAAACTTTAAGAACATCTGCCTCTTTCACACACACACACACACACACACACACACACTGTGGCCTAGATGTGAGTCACTAAATTCCATCTACTGATGTATCAATCAGCTATCAATCATCAATACATAGAGCATCTCTTCAGTCTCAGTCTGTCAATCAGTCAGTAATCACTGTGCTTATAAACGCTGTCAAACGGAATTAAATCACCACTTCCTTAATTACAGGATTTCTTGTGATATCATTGGTCGGGGGCTCATGCAGGAACAACATGAAGATTTTCAAAGTATCTCCTTCACCAACGGTTTTAAATTCACTGATTTCAGGTGTAACACTGCGAACAGAGAGCGTCAGTTAAGGGTCTGTTGAGGGGAAGAAGCTCAGCTGCAACAACGTCACGGGTGGAGATTTGAAGTGGAATCACATCGACATCAGCCGCAGATTAAAAACCACTGAGAGTGAAGAGCATCAGATTCACTCACGGTAAAACACTGCAGAGTAGAAAATGAGCCCACAGCAGCGGGAGGTGTCGAGTGCCTGGCTCGGGGGCTGTTCAGTGTCGGGAAGTCGAGAGTGTTAATCGGGTTTGGTGCAAGTGGCTCTGTTTTCTTGGTGATTGAGAAATGGGATTCTATAGCGATAAAAGCTTCATTCTGATAGCAAAGCATGTGGCTAAGGTAGATACTGTATTTATGAATGGACTCAAATAAACAATGCTTAGAGTGAATACTAATATTAATAAAGTGAGAAATACTGATCATTATTACAGATTACACCACAAAGCACGGAGCTCTAGAAAAACTCTTGAGTCATCAAAGGTTTCTACACTTTACTGCTGCCGTCGACACGCCGTCACCTGTCAAATGAAAATGTTTACTCGTGTACAGGTACGCTGTGAAGTAAACAACCTAATCCCTGACTGCTTCACCTTTTAACAGCTGCTAATAACACTGGGTTAATACAATGACTGCTGATTTACTGACTGCTGCAACACACACCGGCAGCCAGTGGGGAACCATCAGAGAAGGCTGAACACATCAGCATTTTAAATGTTGTATTTAATCTCTTTTATGGACTCATTATTCAGTTCTAATTCTACACTGCTCAAAAAAACGAAGGGAACATTTAATCATCGCAGTATAACACCAAGTCAATTAAACTTCAGGGATATCAATCTGTCCATTTAGGAAGAACAAGTGATTGTGAATCAGTTTCAGCTGCTTTGGTGCAAATGAAAGTGACAACAGGTGCAATGGAGGCAAAAGCAAGACAACCCCCAAAAAGGGAATGGTTTTACATGTGGTGGCCACAGCCAGTTGCTCTCTCCTGATCCTTCCTGACTGATTCTTCTCTAGTTTTGTTTTTTGCTGGTGTCCTTGTCACTACTGGTAGCATGAGGCGGTACCTGCAGCCCAATCAGGTTGCACAGGCAGTCCAGCTCCTCCAGGATGGCACATCCATACGTGTGACCTTACGCTGGTGCAGTGGCCCTGGGTTCCTCCTGGTGCAGGACAATGCCCGGCCTCATGTGGCCAGAGTGTGTAGGCAGTTCCTGGATGACGGAGGCATTGATGCCATTGACTGGCCCTCACGTTCACCTGACCTAAATCCAGTTGAGCACCTATGAGGACGTTATGTATCGATGCATCCGACGCTGCCAAGTACTGCCACAGACCGTCCAGGAGCTCACTGATGCCCTGATCCAGGTCTGGGAGGAGATCCCTCAGGACACCATCCGCCAACTCATCAGGAGCATGCCCAGACGTTGTCAGGAGTGTATACAGGCACACAGAGGTCAAAAACACTACTGAGCCACATTATGAGTTGCTGTGATGAAATTCATGTAAAATGGATCAGCCTGTGATTTCAGCTTTTTACTTTGATTCTGGGTGTGATTGTGAATCCAGCCCTCAGTGGGTTGATGATGTCATTTTGTTCTCAACAAATTATACAATGTACATCAGTAAAGACTTTCAACTTATAATTTGTCCATCAAGATCTGATGTGTATATTTAAGTGCCTTTCCTTTAATTTTATTGAGCAGTGTAATTTTAGCCTCATTTTCTATCACATTTGCTTCAGAAATGAAAGTTACTGTCCTAAAAACTATGAAAATGGAGTTATCCAATCAGACTTTTCTTCTTTTTTTTTTTTTGGCTGTAGGCAGAAAGAAGTTTAGCTGGCTCACTCATTGGTTAGAAAGCGGCACGTGAATTAACCAATCACATTTTGAATTATAGTGGGTGGGACAAAAAAAGCGGATCCCCTAGGGCTTCCAGAAGGCCAGAGCTATCACAGGGGGGAAATCGTCACTGGCTTTTCCAACAGGTGCGTTGAACACCCAGTTATTCACAGTGTGCCACTGTCAGCAGCAAATCGCAAGCTTCATAAAACCTGTGTTGTTGCCCAGCGTCGCTCGATCACTTTGTTCACTCTTTTCACCGTCACGTCCTGGCTGCTGGTCCCTGACCACTTCTCCTGCCGTTTAATTCACAGGAAATGTTGCAACTCTTTGTGATGTGGCCAGCGTGTGTCAATCACCAGCACACATAGATGATGCAACAAGTCTTTCTGTTTTTTTTTACACATCACTTGACAACACTAGATTATATCATGAGCAGAAAACTGATCAGCAGTATCAGTACGAGTAGCAGTCCTAACAAACCCCTGACTACTCAGAGACTGGGACCAGGGTCAACCGGGAATTTAAAAAATGTCAGTTCTGTCCTTGTGAGAGAAAATTTCTAGGAAAAAAGTCTCCATTAAAGCACTTGTGACCTGCGTCATGGAGAGCGTCATGGAAACACCACCAGCCCATAATCATCTGTCAGCACTGAGGGGATTATGGGTAATTTATGATAGAGAACAACCTGCTGTGGAGCTCAGAGGTCACTGTGATGTGAAGTGTTTAAAGGAAGACTTGCCTGTAATCTGCCCAATGATGGGACGCAGGCAGCGACGACACACTCCGTGGTTACATATAGAGTGTGTGTGTGTGTGTGTGGCATACCTTTGATCAACTCTTATTACTGTATTTAATAAAGAGATTTTAGAGTTGTCCTCAGCGAGTTGTCCTCTGAGACAATCCACTCCCTGTGAGCTCATCAGGTCTACCACATGTCTCTCGCCCGCCCTCCCTCCCTCCCTCTCTCTTACACTAACATTAACTTTACATCTCCACTCTGACATGAACATGTTTTTCTGAATCAGCGTTATAAAAACAGCAGCGATGCAGTGAGGACACACAGACCGAGCTCAGTCCCTCTACTTCTGTTTTTCCTACAATGTAAAATAATGGGCTGTAGTGACCTGGGTCACATGGTTCAGGAGTTAAGACACTTTTGTTCTGATAAATTGACCGTAGGCTAATGTGGATGGATGACTGGTCGTATAAATTGCAACACATTGATACAGGAGACTGAGGTTCATGTCTTGACTCCTGTGGCCTGTTAGGTTTACTGAACTAGAACTCTCTGGAAAGATGAGGATGAAGTAAACACATCCTGTCTCGTCGCCATCAGTCAGTGTCTTGCAAATATTATTATTATAATTTTATATTATATTTATAATTGGTAATTTATTATTATATAATATTATTATGTAGCCTGGACACTGATGTAGCCGACTGACATTTTGGAGAAACCGTATTTGTTTTTACGAAATAATGATTTCTCATTTTAGAGGACAGGACTGGCCGCTCATTATCTCCTCTGACTGTGTTAGTGTGGGAGACAACAGCACACACAACCACCAAGGTGAATTCATTCAGATCACAGAAAATGTGAGCCAGTTCACCCCTAACTTGTCCCCCTTCTCTTCTCTCTTATTTTCCTGTTTGGCACTGCGTTTACAAAATGTCTAAAACCTGTAAATTAAGTTTACAAATGTTATTAGGTAGCCTGTGTGCTTGGTGAAATTCAAAATTGAAAATCTTGATGCAGTCCAGCCCAAATATCGTGATACACAATATTATCTCAATATTATTCAATTATATTGTTGTATTTTTATATCTTTTAAATAATACACAATTATACTATTGTATTTTACTATCTATATTCTACAATTTTACTATTGTATAATTACATTATTGCATTTTATGTTTCAAGTAAATTTTTTCTTTTATCATTAAAAATATTCCATATGGCGGGAAATATCGCGATATTCCATTTCAGCCCAAGCCTAGTAGCCTGTTTGATGATGCA